ATGGCCCTATGTTAGGTGCAGTACAGATACACATCTTTAGCAAAATGATCGTTACTTTTAAGATCTAGCTTGTGAACTACTGTTTTCATTCTAGTTCCAGCATAAAATCCTAGGGACATGACGTTTTCCTTCCTTTCAGCTGGTGCTGCCATCACTGTGGAATTTGGGGCACTCCTGACATCATGCTGTTCTGCCTAACTAAAATGTGTAGAAGTGATTAGAACCCAACAGGAAACACTTGGAGGCCTACTTCACTTCTTTCAGTCCCGGAAAGGCTAGGTATTTTGGTGGAACAGATACATCAATCATGTTTCCTCAGCAGGGGCTGGGAACTGGGTGCAATAGGATCATGTTGGGATTTGCAGTGGAGGCCAGTGATAGCAGTCTCCTGCAGTTTAAGAGATGCGAGAACACTCATACTGTATTGATTTTTTTTCAACACACAGAAATTAATAGAAAACTTGAACCCTGGCTAGCCCACAGTATTTCATAGGTGGTCTATACTTTTGCTTTCTGAATTCTTCTGATTTTAGGAGCAAATTTGAAATGCTTACTGTATCAGTTTCTTGTTGAACCAGCCCAGGTCAGGAGTGTGGGGTAAAAGAGCAAATAATGCATTCTTAATTAAGAGATCTTTTTGTGTATTGAAGTAATTTCTGCAGCCTTCTGAAACACCACAGTGCACTTAGGTACGTGCTGGGTTTTGGTAATGATATTGCTGTTCTCATAGTAGTGCCATAAGCAACAACTGAGATATTTTAAATAGCTTTATAACATCCTTCTGTGTGTGTTGTGTAAAGTAATGATTTTTAGAAATAATAATTTAACAATGAGCGTGGTCAAACACTGGCACAGATTGCCCAGAGAGGTTGTGAAGTCTCTGTTTGTGGAAGTGTTCAAAACCTGACTGACAGTCCTGGGCTGCCTGCTCTAGCTGACCCTGCCTGAGCAGGGGCTTGGACTTAGGTGACTTCAAGAGGTCTTTTCCAACCTCAACCAATTCTGTCTTTGTGTGAATAAAGGCCAACTGTGTGGGTTGGTTTTAGTTGTTTTCTTTTTCAAATAAGGAGTTTATTTCCTCTGGTGAGTTAGCAGTGTTTTTAAGGGACCTATGCATATGCAAGTGTTGGTTAAGACTGTTTTCACCAAGATTCTCCCTGAAAATAGAGTTCCTTTCTGAGACCTGGTTGTGTTTAAAAGCACATCATTATGCAACAGATCCAGTCCTTTATGTATTCAAATTTGCTTGTATTAGTTATGAAAACAGAGCAAGTTTTGTATCTTTTGAGTCTATCCCATTATGGAAGAGAGATGTATTCTGTTGAACATGAATAATCAGGAGATCAAAGTGCTGTCACTCTGTTGAAATCTGGGGAAGAAGCCACCCATGGAACATTTAAAGGATAGACTAACCTGTGGGTAACTGAGGATATAAAAGGAGAAGGCAAACGGAGAACAACATACGTGTGCTGGGTTCTGTGGTGTGTTCAGTGTGGCTGGTGAGGCGTGAACAAAGCAGGTTGAATTTAGAAACCAGAATTGTAACTTTTAGGAAAGTTTTTGGGAATAGAAATAGAATAACATAATTTAAAGAACAAATCATTTTGCATTATGTTGTTGTTAGGAATAACAGACTTTCTGAAATGTATTGGCAAATTTGTTAGTCTAATTTGTTTTGATTTTTAAATCTTTATTGAGGGTGTTAAGTAACTCACATTTTCACACCGTAAGGTAATGAAATATAAGGGGAGCTCAAACATTATTCAATGCTAGTAACCCACTGCACAAGGGAAGAAACTTAATTTACAGCAGAGAGATGATTTTATGATTTAATGCTTTAAATATGTGCTGTATAGAAATGTTACTGCTGTCTAGTAAAGCAGAGGATGAGGCTAAAACTATTAAAGGAAATGCAATGTTTAGTGTTCTAAAGTAGTGCAATTGTCAAAGCACTGCTACTTAGTAACAGTGACATCTTTGATCGTCAGCTTTATTCGTGAGATAAGATGTGTCGCACCATGCAGTGTGTAAAATGTGTTCTTCATAGTTAGAAATCACAGGTGTAGGTGTGTTTAACAGTACATAAGTAGCTAGCATTAGAAATTCCTAAAACCCAGACACATTCTGATGTGGCATAGATGAGTAGAAGTCAAGTCTTCGTGTGGATTTTGTGTTGAGGAAAGGACATAAGATCTTGAGCTAGGGGCAGAGTCTTGCTTTTAAAAGTAATACGATCTGCCCTGTGGGGGACTGTATGCTCTTAAGAGTGCATGGAGTGCACAGCAGCAGCAGCTGTAGCGGAGATTGTCTGAAGGGCAAGCAAGCTGCAAGGGATTCTTTAAAACGAGAATAGTGAGAGAGGGAAGCGGGTTCAGGCTTCTCTGCTCCAGTTGGAGACAGGGTTGCTCCTACAAGCTTGGTGGTACCACATGAGTAAATGGCACTGAGAGATGCAGAGAAATAAGGGGGAAGGCTATTTTTAAAGCAGTTCTCGGAGGTAGAGGGCTGTTGTAGTGTGGTGATGTTTACTGTGGCACTGCCACAAACTTAATTTCTGATGGGAATCTGCCCTTCTCACCTCTTTGTCACTAAGTGTGAGGGGTCCGATAGAAAATGTGTTTTGACTTCTATTGAGTTGATAGCCTCTAAAACAAAAATGTTTTGGAGTTGTTTTCTTGCTTGATATGTCATCCTGTTGCTTCTCTCATTTCTCTCACTCCTGTTTCTGCGTGTTTTAATTCCCATTATTTTTGTTCATCCCGTGACATACCATACTTTTTTTCTTTTTCTGTTAACTTTCTGTGAAGCTTGAGCTTTCTGTCATACTTCTTCTGGTCTAGCTCCTAATCAAGATTTACCCTTACTTTCAGGGCCAGATATCTTGATTTTGGACTTATAAGTGCTACCAAGATGAAGTATTAGGAGTTACGCTTGGTTGTGAGTCAAATTGTTTGCAGACAGATTAATGTCTTCCTCTGGCTTTTCTTTTGCTGTGTTGTCCATTACCATTTTGCCTCTTCTTATGTCCTTATCTGCCTCTTGCCTTTTGCTTCCTTCATCAGCTGTATTGCTGTTGCAATTGTGGCATTTCATGAGCAAGGCTGGCAGTTTAGGAAGGGTAAATCATATAACTAATTTTTCCATTGCTTGGGAAAAAGCATTGTCCAAGCAGAACAGTGCAGAAAGCACAGTCAAAATTCTCTATCTGCTTAGAAGGGGAAAGCTACTTGGAGGAGGTCTACTAAATGCATCTTTCTTTCTTCGCAGTCTCTTGCAAGACAAAAGCAGATGTACTGTTTCTGTTAATGCCACATTATTCTGGGATATGAACTGTAGCTACAGTTGGTCTTGATCATTTCTTGTGGGGTTTTGTACCAGGGCTGCACAATGTGTCTAGGACCTCATTAATGCCATAACTCTGGTTGTATAATCTGTGTTGTGGATTTAATGTGCTGTGGGTGCTGATACACCTGACTTTGTCCATCAGAAAGCATCTTGTGTCTGGCAGAGCCACTGTGGCACTGGAGCCAGTAAAGTCTATTTTCCTTTCACTGCTATTCCTCTCCTCGAATGTAGTGGGTCTGCTTGGGTTCAGGGGGGCAAGTTTGACTTGTGTGACCATCAATATGGTGTCTCTTGTTGCATCCTGCAGTGCTGCGGATCTTAGACCCTTCTTGTCTGGATGAAAGTTGGTTATATTTGCATGTGTTTAATTCTTGTAGTGCTTTTAGCCCTAGGCCTGATTTGTAACATCTAAGTAGCATGGATATAGGGACTGTCAGAGCACAAGAGGCAAAAGCAGTAAAAGAAGGGAGCATTAACAAGTCCTGTAGTTTCAAAGTAAATCAAAACCTTAAGGAAGTCAAGGTATTAGTGTATTTTTAATGGGGTGTGGGAGGATGGGCGTTGTCCTGTACTGTCTTCCTGGGAAAAAAGCACCTGTCCTGTTTAACATTTGTCAGTGAGCTGGAGGCAATGGAGTGTGCCCAAATTGCAGATGATACCCAACTGGGCAACAGTCAACGTGCTAGGGGCCGCTCGTTCAGGGAGACCTGGATAGGCTGGAGGATGGGGTCTTCAGGAACCCACCCTATGAAATTCAACAAGGAGAAACACAAAGTCCTGTGTTAGGGGTGACTGAATTCAGTAGCCCTTTTCCCTCTGTTTTCCTGTGTTTGTTCCTCTCCAGTCTTCCTTGCTGCCTTCCCCTGAATGTCATGCAAGTCTTGTACAGTCCTGCATGCTCCTCCCTGCCATTCCACAGTGAGTTCCATGGCTCTGTGGCATTAGTCCCCCTCAGTGGGAAAGGTGATCTGGGCTCTGTGGATCCTCGTTGGAGGTTTTCAAGACTCAACTGGATAAAGCCTTGAGCAACCTAGTTCTGCCTCATAGCTGACCCTCTTTTCAGCAAGAGGCTGAACGAGAAACCTCCTGAGGTCCTTTCTAAGCTGACTTATCCAGTTATTCTAAAAGTTGCTGCTGGACTGTAAATAAATAAATTCTGAGTTGTTTGCTCTGTTTGCATCGTAACTTGATAATAATAGTCTGTATTTTAAATCTGCATATTGCAGTCTTGTTATGTCTGTTGAGGATACATAAGTTATTTGTTAGACATTGTGGACAAATTTGAAACAACAGTTATACTATTTTGTTGAGATGTTACAAACAGTAGTTAAATTGTGCCAGTATGGCATACTATTGTGTGCTGGATTTATTTTCAGAGAATCAAATGTGTATTAGTGATACTTCAGGTATGAGCTGTAAGGCAAATTCCATTCTAGGGTTTCTAAACCAGGACTTCTTACATTTTAACTACATGATTGAATTCAGGTATCTATTCACTGTGTGCCATGAATGAGCACAGTAAAGTGAAAATAGAAATGTTTTTGTAAGTTAGCTTTTAAAAAACTGCTTGAGATGGTCTGCTTTTGTAGCTGACTCTTGCCTTTTTTGAGAAGGGGGGAAATTCCTTGTTGAACAATTTTTATGTTCCTAAACAGACATTGGCTACCTTACTTATAGAGATTCAAAATTGTGGTGGTCTGCATCCTGGACCAGTGTTAGAGCAACACTGCTGGGCTAAGGTCAGTGATGGTGTAAGCCAAGTACTTGGAAAACATCCAGGTCTGGATACCAATGTTGCATACCAGTGGGAATCTGGAATGAGAAGTCTTGGGGACACACGTACTTTTGCAATTACATTCCCTTGCTGACGCAGAAGGGCTGTGGCTCTGCTATGGGTTAGGTGCAGTAGCACAAAACATTCCCATAGTTAAGACTTCCAGCATCAAGACAGTTTGTGCATTCTTCAGCTGCTGTTTAACCAGAGTTCTGTCGCTTGAGTGCATAAAAACCTCTTAAGATTTTTTTTTTCATTAAAAGTTGATGGTGATTTTTAGATGACTTTGTTTAAGGGTGTGGCAACTGTATTGGCATATCACCTTGAAACACTTAACATGCAAGTTTGTGAGCTTGCATGCTTTCATGGTTAGCATGGCTTAAGTAGCACACAGGAAGATCAGAATGACAAATTTAAATGGATGCAAATTTACTCTTTCCAGGATGTACAGGATCTCGGTACTAGATTATTCCATTCATATGTTCACATAAATCAGTGTGTCTGTAGCGTAACTTCCTCAGAACAGCTGTTTCATCTGTCAAAGCTAATGCATCTCAGAATTTCATCATGATGTTTAGTTTCACCAACAAAGTTTCTAGTGATCACTCCCATCTTAATCTAAGGGAGTAATATGTCCTCATCTAATGTCATCACTGGATCATTGTGGCAAAGGATTAAAGCAATCATTTTGTTTTTCAGTAATTATGTATTAGCTGTACAGGGTTTTATTTGAAATTCCAAAAGAACGTAATAGTGTAAGATCAATGTTTTGATGTTTATCAGCACTGCAAAAGTTACTTGTTACATTTTATAAGACCACGGAGATTGTTTCCTGCCATATTGGGTACTTAAAGCATAGAGTGAAAGATCAGCAGTGTCCTTTTGTTGGGTGTTTTGTTTTTTGTTTTTTGGTTTGTTTGGTTTTTTTTTTTTTTTTTGGAGGATGTTGGTTTGGTTTTTAATTATGCTCTTGATAAAGTTCTAGCTTTCTGCCCTCTGCTGAGCACAAGCTCCGCATGCAGCTACCATAACATGCAGGGGCGCATACTGAGTTTTGAAGATGTATGTTATTTTCTGAGATTTCCCTTTCCGTATTTTGTTTTGATGGAAACTGTAAGCTACTTCAGAGCTTCATGGCAGTAGGAATAAGTCCACAGGCTTTTTTTCAGAGGGGAAAATGTTAGATTTCTATTTATCTTGGCAAAACTAAAGTTTTGCTTTAAAGACATAGCCCTTTCTATGTCTTTCTGATCTTGTCGCCATCACTCGAGCTGAGCATTTTAAGACTGGGTGGGAATCGTTGAAGTAATAATCTTCTTCTGTTAAAGGTCTCTCTTTTTTTGTCCTTTCTGTTTCAGATTTGGCCTTGGAATCTAATCCATCTGATCATCCCAGAGCAAGCACAATTTTTCTGAGCAAGTCTCAAACAGATGGTAAGTTAAGTTTTTCCCAATTTAAAAGAAGGCAGGAGAAAAACGGGAAAAATATCTGCCTACTTTTAATTGTACAGCTCAAGAACACTTAAATTACTTTAATTCTTTCAAAGCATAGGGATTACTTATTTGCATGTTTACACCATATGCTGTTTTACTTAACACTTAAAATCACTTGTTCTTCTAAACGCTTAAATATCAGGAGATTTTCAGAGTCTGGATTCTAATAGTCTAAAGGAGTGAGGCTTTCTTCACTAGTGTAATTCAAGCTTCAAGCAGTGATGGGTTTTTTATGACCAAGGACTTTTTTAAAAATTGCTTTAAATTAAAAAAAAAAATTAAAGGACAGTTTTCTGTAAGGAATGATAAGCCTAACCTATCAGTCTGTTTCAGTTGCTTTTGAATATGCTGTTTTAGACTGTTTGAATAGTTTCAGTAGCACAATTATTCTTGAATCCTTATTTTAATTACATGGTTGTATTGGGATTTTTCAGTTTCTTTCCAGATCCCTTGTTTACCTAATAAAGTCAATTTTGAACAATTACTATAGCTTGTGCATTCCAAAATGCTGTTCAGAAGTGGAGGCATTTCCATATTGCATAAATAAAGAATTCTGAAAGTAGTAAATTTTGAAGCTGCAACTAAAAAGGAGTTTAAGGTACTATTTTAAAAATGCTTCTGTTCCTTTTATAGTTGGTTCTTGTTTGAAGCACTGCTTTTCCTAAGACAGTGTTGCACTTGAGATTAGATATGTTGATGGAAAGCTGCAGTGAGTCTTCTACTGTGGCACATCTTTGCTACAGAAAAGTGGAATTATTTGACAGGTCTGTCAGTTGCAGTCCTGCTATTCAGAGTCTTATGGCAAGTAGTAAAACTGTCAGTTGTATCAACTTCACAATGCTCAGATAATCTGTGAGCAGTGGAAACAAGCCCTAGCATGATTCTGCAGAAGAGATGATGCCAAGGCAATGTAGGCCTCTTGTCCTCAGGGCCTCTTAAGGTCAGTCTTCAAACAGACAGAGGATCTGACCTGCACATTTCAAACACCTCTTAGATGAGCGCTGGTTAAGTTGCAGTTAGCAAGTTGACATAGTTCTTGAACATCGTAGGGCAACTTCACTGTGCAGCCTTTCAGCCATGCTGCAAATAACATTCAAACTACATGAACATCCTTGCTGGGGGTAGTATTACTCTTAAACATGATTCGGTATTCTTCAAACGTAACATATTGAAATATCTACACTTGTGTTCATGTAGAAAAATGGTCTGCTAGGTGAGATAACTGTTAAACTATTCTCTATTGTATTAGTTGGATTAATTTATTTTTACAGGGTACTTTTATGGACAAGTCAGGCAGAATAATTTATTTTTTAATTTCACTAGATCTTCTTTAGTTAACCTTTTATAGAAGTAGTAGAATTAATTTCCGTAAGTTCTCTCTTATTGTGATGTTGTCACAGTTTTGATTTATGCAAAAAGACAAAAAAAATTTTGATACTCTCTTCCAATTCTTAGTTTTTCTAAATATTTAGGGCAATGTGTCCTGCTAACAAGTGGTAGTGATCTGAGGTAAAAACTTTGAGAAGTCACCTGTCCAGACTGGTCACATTTTTATAGCTTGCTGCATCTACGTGACTCTCAGCTCTCTTTTAACAGCACTGTTTTACTGCTGCTGTTGTAGCTGGAACCTTACAATCTTTTTTGAAAGGCTGACAGAGTTTAAAATGATCAGATAACACGGTTCAGTTATATGATAAATAGGCATAGCTTGTGCCAGCATCTTTGGTATAGTGAAATACCTTTTTACCTTCTGCTGTCTAATAGGAGGAGAGAGCACACGTATAAATGCTGGGCACCTCACTTCCTCCTTGTGTGTCTGGCAGGTTCAGTGTGTGATGTTTTTACTTCTGTTTGCTAAGTGGTTGCTGTTGGATGTTGAACTTCTGAGGTATCTGAAATAATACAGTTTTTCCTGATGCACAGCATCTTTTCAAAGCTGAGATGTTTTTCTCTTAGTGCAATGGGTAGAAGTAGTTCCTAAATGCAGATGTGGATAGTTGGAAGTAGTATGTGGTTTACTAGCTTGATGAAACTTAGTATTTCTCCCTCAAGCTACTTTTCCAGACACCTAAAGTCAAATTTGAAACTTCTAATACTCATGTACTTCAGAAGACTAGTTTAATAGAATGGCTTGATTGAACGTAAATTGTGATTGTATTTTGGAAACCTTTAAATTCACATTCTTTCTCCCTCTTTCTAGTGCGAGAGAAGAGGAAGAGTAACCACATTAATCATGTAAGTAAAACAAATTCTTAGTGTGCTATGTAGGTAATATTAGCATATTGTGACAAATTCAAGAAACGACTGTCAGTAGTTCTAGGTATATAGTCTTGCACATGTTCCAAATCCTGCTTAGCAAGGTAAAACTGAATTATCTTTCCTGTCTTTAAAAAATAAACAGGCACGGTATCACAGAGCATAGAACAGCTGATGTCAAAAGAATAAGAATGCATTTTTTTGTTGCATCAGTCTTGAGCATTTCAGAACAGTAAAGGAGAAAATATAAGTCAAACTGCCTACATTGTGTTTTTAAACAGAAATAAAACTGGATTAATTTCTCAGCTGAGACGACAGGTTTTTAAATTACTTGCTGTTTGAGCATCACTAGAGGACATACTGTAAGAAATGTATCCACCATGAAAAGAGAATCATGAACAAGTATTATCATCAGCATGATACACAAATGATAATCCATTAGTTTTAAAATCTGAAAATATGCTCTAAGCTTCTGCAAATATTAGTTGGTTTTGATACTTCACTTGCTAAAAAAATACACAAAAAAGATGCAATGTCATTGATAAGTGGATAAAAAAAATTATTGACTAGTAAAGCTAAGAATGGAAGTTATTAACACAAAGCTTAGAAAATACTGTGTAGCAGAAGTGTCTACTGATAAGTTACTGTCAAGATAATGATATTTCAAGTCTGTTGTATATAGTCAGATTATGGGGGTAGGGTTTTTAAATTTTATTTCTTTTTCAGTTACAGTTCCAGGTTTAGTCTGCTAGCACGAAGGTGAAGTGTGATTAGATTGTGTTTGCTGGCAAACTTCAGCTAGAATGGGAGATATTCCCAGGCAGCCATTTAGTTGTGAAGGGTGCCAACATTTTCATATGGAAGACTTTCAAGTTTTTAGACAAGGCATTTAAAAAGATTCTGGCAAAAGACTAATGGATCTTGAATTCTTGATTAAAACTCTTCTCTCAGTTATGATGTCCTAGCTCTATTGCAAGGCATTCTCTAAAAATGTTCAGGGAAGCCTGAGTTAGTGTTAATGTAGGAAGATTTTTTACAGTATAAAATCTACAGGATTAGGATAGGTGATGGAACATATTACTAGCTCTGAATAGTAAAAGTAAGGATAACAGTAGTACTTTATTTCCAGATTCCAGATGCTAAACAAGACATGAGTGAAGTGAGCAGTGTCAGGAAGTTTCTTCTAAAATATAACAAGAAAAAAGCCCAAATGCAAAACTGTCGTTACACGTTGTGGTACTGGATAACCGGAAAAGTAAAGGTAGAGGATATAGAACAAGGAAGAAGATGATTATGGAGTCACAGGGAAATCTAATAAAGTAAATCGTAGGGAGGGAGGACTGAGACCTGAACTGTCAAGAATGGAATGGAGAACTGAGAAAATCAGAGGACTTGCTGCTTTAGCTGCAGCTATTTCTCCTGAAAATTACTTATCTAAAACCATAATGTTATATATTACAAGGGATGATTTATAAACCTATCATCTTACACAAAGGGTATCCTCAGGAACTTGATGGCTGTAGGGTAGCTTGCACAGCAGGAGCGATCAGATGCAAAGACCTCCTCTGCAGTAGCTATTTGAGGTGTAAAGGTTGTATTCAGTGTGGTAAACCAAAGCTTACACAATCCCTCTTCTTGAATGTATTTCTGCTCTTTTTTATTTGCCTTTTTTTTTTTTTCCCTCTAAGGTTTCTCCTGGGCAGCTTACGAAAAAATACAGCTCATGCTCAACAATATTTATAGATGACAGCACTGTCAGTCAACCCAACCTTAGAAGCACAATAAAGTGGTAAGAGCCATTTGTCATCAGCAAGGGGGGCTGAGTAGCATTGCAAGGTTTGTTTAGGATTTAGTGGCGGTCTTGTCCGTTCCAAAGCCGGTCACACACTTGAATGAGAGGAGCACGGCACTGCTTATATGGGTTGGTCGTGGAAGGGGTGTAGAGGTCTAGTTAGCTATGACTGCTGAAGCGAATTTTTTTTTTTTTTCAGTTGCAGAGCTAATGTACTGTTGTATTTCAAAGTAGTTATCGTTGTGCACTCGAGAATCTGAAGTAATGCAGAAGTGTGTGTTGTGGTGGGGAGCTCAAAAAGCCAAATCCGGAAACTGTCCCCAGCTGGGAAAACTTGAAATGGATTTTGTAGGGACTTGCAGAAAAAGTTTGTAGGACTGCATTTACTGCTTGCCAGTAGTATTAGTCTGCCCTCTAGCTGTGGAAAACAGTATGTTGCTGGCTCTCGTTTTAGCCTTTCTACTTTTTCTTTGTATATTTGTTATTTCAGGTAGATGAGTCTGATAAGTACTCTTCTTGGTTCTCTAGTGGAAATGGCTGTTTGACCTGTTGTTCTAGGTACCACAGAGACAATTCTTTGTGCATTGACAATACCAGCCAAGAAATGAGAAGAGTTTTAACTGTGCTTGAAGTGAAAGTAAGGCAAAGTAGCTTCAGGCCCAGAAGGCTTTAATGTTTTAACACTTAGTAGAGTTTGGAAATGTCCAAGTTGATTTGTTGCTTTCAAATTTGGTTTCAAGCAGAGGTGTCTAGCATGTCATCCCTCATTTTCTAGAGTTAAAAAAAAAAAGCCCTAAAAGATGGTGCTTGTGCCATTTTGAAGTGGTGAACAACTGGCAACAGATCAGAGCTTGCCTGGGACGGATTCCTGTGATGGCAGTGTTCCTTTTGCCAGTGCCAGTGAAGTATCTGAAATTTGGCCACAGTAGATGAGTGTCAATATGAAAGTGAGTTGTGAATAGTCCACATTTTCAATAAATGTCACCTAATCAGGCAGTGTAGGTGTGTGTTTAAAATGTGGTGTAGTATTTATTTTGTGGCACAAATATCTGTACAATGAATATAAAAGTAGTTTGATTAGCAGATTTGATTTGGCCAGTTTCTGTTCAGGCAGGTAAACGTCTGAAATTAAAAACAAAGTACTCAAGAATGTGAGACGAAGTCAATACATGATGGATTCTGAACATTTTGCCCTGAAAAACAGCTTTTGCAGTGGCATACTGTGCACAGACTGTGCTTTGTTAAGTATTTTCTTTTTTTCTTTCTCTTTTTTTAGTGTAACATTAGCAATATTCTACCATATAAAGAACAGGTGAGTGAACTTCTTTTTTTTTATAAAAGATAACAATTTTCTTTTTGACCTAGGGATATGGTCTCAGTCACTTCAGTAACAGGTAGTGTAACTTAAAGGAGTTGAAAAATCTGACGCTTTATGCTGTATCTGCTATGTCTTTGAAAGCTTGATTGAGCTTTGATTGAAAGCCTGTTGATTAGGCCCTTGATTTATTTGATTGAAAGTCCGTCTGGAGCTGATACAGAAAGGTCGGTAATACCCGCATCCAATGGCACATGCTTCATCGAGAATGAGGAGAATACACTTAACTCGCCACAAATCAGCCTTTCAACTTTGTTTAGCTTTTCCTGAATACAGAGGTAGAGATTAGTTTTGATGGGTGAAGGAACACCGTCCCACGTACAAATAACCCTTGCCATTATAGCTAGTTATGGCTTATGCTTCAAAATCACAGCTGCCTTTTTGAAGTAAATGCTATTAAAGAGACAGTTTCACATTTTAAGGGAGAACTGTACTAAGCATAATATGAGAACATGGATAGCTATTAATTGTTTAGTTTCTTAAATATTCAGTTTTAAGGTCTCATCATTAAGTGTTCCGCAAAAATACAATATAACTTCATACCATATCTACGAATAGCTGAACCATAAAATATGTCCCTTTATCCTCTTTAATAAATAATACTTTTTAGTGGAGGGTAGCATTACCAATTAACTCTTGTCACTGAAACAGAGATTTTTACTTTGTAGAGATTCTGACAGATCATTGGATATTTTTGATGAAAAATCTCATCCTCTCACAGTAAGTGTAACTTTTTGATCTTCTGAACGCGTATCAATATACATATTTTTTAACATCTTGATTTGTATTGTATAAGTCATTAAAATGTCTTAGCACCAGGTCACAAGCAAGTTGATCTCCAATTGTATCTTTATATATAAAATACAGTGCAGCTAGTGTTCTGTGGACTTTTGATGCCAGCTAGATCATGAACAGAACACAGTCTTTCTAAATGTTGCAAAGTATGTTTGGTTTTCTATGCTTTGAATATAAACAGAAAGCAAGCAGTGCTGATTCTTGCATATTTTGTATCCAGACTTTCTTGCCTGACTCCTTTCTTCTGCTCTTTAACACTCCTTTCATTAAAAGTCTTTTCCTATCTATTTAGGAAGACATGTTTAGTAGATAAGTGCCTAGCCTTTTAAATGACTGCAAACAGCAGAACATAACACGTGAAGCATCACACAAAGTAGGAGAAAATTAGTTTGGTCTTTAAAAAAACTGAAAGGCAAAGTTTTAAAGCAAATATGCTTAATGCTGCTTGCGGTAACAGCTAGGAGCATTCAGCAGGTGATTTTAGTGTGGCTGGTCTTGGTACATCTTTTTAGACAATCTTTAAGATGCAAAACCTCATAGTACAGGCAAGCTCAAGAGTGGGGCATGTGCTTTTTACGTCCAGTTTGAGAACTGCTAGCTTAATGACTGTCCTACGGAACCACTCCTTTTGTTTTTCATTTGAAATGAATTTAGCAAAGCTCTAGTGGTTTTAAAAATTGCTCGCTCTGGGACTTAGACCTAAGTGAATGCAGTTTAATCTGTCTCACAGATGTGGCTTGTTAATAAACAGTTTTTAATAAACAATTAAATATTTTAAGTTTGTTAGAGTTTCATCCCTAAATATGACCCATTGTGCTAGGAATTGTACACTTGAATAAATACAGCTCTTTACTCGATAAAAATAATTAACTCAATATAAAAATAATAGAAGAGCTATAGAGAAGATTTCTTGTATGGACTGTGGCCTTTCAAGAGAAGAGTCTGGTACAAAACTGTTTCAACTGCCTGAATCTGTTGTTTCACATTGACAATGATTTATGTAAGATGAACTTCACTTCATCAGACAATTTATTTTCTTTATTTAGCAACCTGACATCTTTTGATCCTTTCACCTAGCCTACCTCCTATTATAATAAGTATGAATAGAGGAAAATCATTGTGTCCTTCAGGGAACACTTAAAGGTCTCTTCTGTCTCACTGCAGTATACAGAAATAAATAGAGTAATGGCTCTGTGTCATACTTCCGAGAGGAAAGACACAAACGGCTTGTTAGTTTCTATAGCAATGGGGTTTTGGCTGGGTACCTACAGTTCCTTCAAAAAGGTTAATAAGCTGTAAGAAATCTCTGAACATCTTGTCCTCTAAAGATTCAGTCACAAGGAGTCCAAATCCAGGCTCGATTGACCCTAAAAGCAGAAGGAACAAACTTTAAGTTAACAGGATCACAGGGCTTAGTCACAAATACCAGTCCAGTCCTTTCCTTCTCAGTTCCAGTCAGCAAAAATGTGCTTCCAGATGTGCTTCTGTATTGCTCATAGCGCAGGAATTCTGTAAGGGGGATCCTGCTTGTGTTGTTCCTGATATCACATGTCCACCTGGCAAGGGTTAACCTCTATTGGTTAGTGTGGAGAGTACAAAGTTAACTCACCTCTTCATTTTACTTGATGCTGTTACCTGGCTATTTTAAACTACAAAACCACGTGAAAATGCTGCTTTGCTTACCTTATGACTACTTGTTTAATGTCAAGCAGCTATGCTGTTCTCATCTGGTATCTTTACTATAGGTCTAACTTGGACTGTAGATAGAAACCTATCTACCTGCAGTATCAGTCTTGCAGAAACAGTGTGTAAAGCTGGAGCTCTTCAGTTTCACCCCTCCAGGAAGCGTGCTGAATATCGGAATGTCTGGGGGAACAGGGTCAGAATTCTCAAACACTCATTTTAGGATTGCTTTTACAGTTAGTTTATTTCTAAGCTTTTCTTCTCCCTTGTATTTAGAAACAGTTTAGGTAATTGTGTCAAAGTTAAATCTAGCTGTTCTTTGTTGTCTTTCTGGAATCTTTCAAGCAGGACTCCTATGAAGACAGAATAAGTTACCTTCTAGTTCTGCCTGTGACAGAATTATTGATGTGTTCTTCAGCTCTTCCTCAGCTGGAAGGGGAATCTTGTGAAGTGTCTTTAATTTTACCTTTTGAAGAGACAGTGCTTCCCTAGTGTGTGTGTATACATACACATATTAATATATCTGTGATTTTTCTTGCAGGGAGAAACCTTTTTTTTTTTAAAAAAAAAAATCTAGTCTGCAAATGTTCCATGGACAATAGTTAGCACCTGTAATAATGATGGTAGTTTGTGCTCTTTCCTGTTAGCCTTACAGATCAAAAAAGTATTCAAAACAAAGGTTTTGATAGCTAAAGCTATTGTGTTTTGCTTGGAATGTTCATAATATTGCAAGTCTGCTTGCTGCTTTCAGTATATGATTTTGTTCTGTCTCTGTGACAGGGAAGGGTTGTATACATTTCTACTCAGTGAGAAGAAACAACCATGTGTGGCTGTTCTTTAAACTCAGTATTAAGTATGACAGATTTTTGGTAATTCAGACAACTTTATTTCAGCGGGAAGAAGTTCCAGATGACTACTACAAGCATGACCCTGATCACAAGCACATCTACCGGTTTGTTCGGACACTTTTCAGTGCTGCACAGCTGACAGCTGAATGTGCAATAGTGACACTGGTAAGAGATACCTGATTACAGAAACTTGAGGGTTTGGAAGACTTTTTTTTTTTTTTTTTTTCCCCTCAGTGAGTGACCTGGACTGAACTGACATTTAAATAGTTACAGTATCTAGTGAAACCGTGTTAATAATGAAGATGCTGTACAAGTGAGTTAATTAGAGAGGATTTCTAAGTAGTTACAGAAGTGGTTAACTAAAAAGGGACTTACCTTTTCTGTATATGAATATGTAATACTAAATTACTTGTCCAATTAAACATTTTTGTTTCATAACATATAACTCACTGAAGAAGGTTGAGAAAGGCAGAACAGTGGGACACTGTGAACAGTGGTGTATAACATCAGACACAGACATCTTTTATTTCAGTTGTGTGAAGGGGAAAGTGAGAGTTTCGAGTTCATATTAACCAAAACAGTACAAGTAACACCGCCTAAGGGGTCAAGGATCAATACTGTATGAACTCCAGAAGATGAATTTTCTATTATGTCCTTCAATCACTGACACCTTTCTATCAAACTTACTTTTATTAAATCAAAGAAGCTACAACTTTTTTCCCCAGGTGACATGGAGGTACTTGGAACTTAAGAAAAATAGTAAGAAAATAATCTCATTACAGTTTGTTGTTTGATTCCAGAATGCAAGATGGATATTAAAAATTGACAATGATACTGATTATTTATGTGCACACATATATACATGCATATACATACATGTATATGAAGGGAAATAAAAAAACACAGCCTGTATAATTGCTGCATTAGACAATCTCATAAACTGCACTTTGTTGCATACTAGACTTCAGTCTTCATTGTGGCTTCTTTCTGAAAAAGTCTGAAAGGAGAACAGAAGAGAACTGTCACCAAAAGGCAATGTGGCAATTAAGTAAACTCAGCTTGAAGGACTCTCTTTAATAAGGAAATAAGTAATTAAAAGGGCCGGTTAATTAGAGCTATTGAAACTCTGAAAGTAGTCTGAGGTTTTTGCTTTTCCAAACACATGCAATCAGTTTTGACAGAACAAGATGATAGCTAATTCTGGGCAATCTAGCCACCTGAAGTATTTACAGAAAACAGAAATAGTCTTTAAAGTTGATTTGGCCACTAGATGGCTCTGTTATTATAGGAACACCTTTAGTCCACTTGAAGGCTGTAAGTGAAGGATGGAGAGAGAGTGGGGAGGCCCTAGTTATAAAGATTGATCCTGCATTTAGACCTGTACAACAGCTTCCTGCACCCACTAGTTTATCTGAGGTTTCATTAGGACCTTGGACTTAGTTTAGGGAATGGAACATTAAGAACAGTGTATATTCAAATTAGCAAGTGCAAATTACTTAGTACATGGATCATTATAGGAGTGTGAAATAGCAGAAAACTTTTAAGGAAGGGACTGATTCAACATCTTTTGGCTAATGTGAGATTATGTGAAAGGAAATAAGTAAAAGACCAAGACATACCTTTACACTTGGGTGTGTTTCACTGTCTAAGCAGTTAAGTGATATAGATAAAGCAGAGGATGATGTTTTAGGTGAAGGATTGAAGTCTGTTCTTTACAGGCTGAAGTAGAAATAGCACTATAACGCCTTTCATTGTGGAAAGATAACAATTAATGCATCTTCTTCCCATGGCTACAGATCACAATGCAGGCATTAGCACTGCCTGTTAAGCTACAAATGCTGAACCTCAAGCCTGAGGAAAGGCTAGTGTGATGCCAGTGATTTACTATCCCAGATAGGCCCTAATGAGAACCTGCAGTGACTGCATGGCTGTGTGATAGAAAGAACTCCAGCAGTGTTTCACTGAACCAGCAGTACTCATTGCTCAGAACTGATTCTTCAGTATCTTTATTGTATGTCGTGGTGGTCCAGGTCTTCTGTTGTGCTAAAAAATGGAACCTGTAACTCCTGAAAGTTTGGATTCTAAAATGTAAGTAGTAATCACTAACACTTATTTTGACATATTTAATGGGATAAAATAGTTGTATTGGACTGGCATGCTTGCTGCTCAGAACTCGGCTCCAGGTCTTAATTACAAACATTAAACTGTTTTGATTTTTTTTCCTTCTTACAGGTTTATTTGGAAAGGCTTTTAACCTATGCAGAGATTGACATATGCCCTAGTAACTGGAAGAGGATAGTCCTAGGAGCTATTCTGCTGGCTTCTAAAGTCTGGGACGATCAGGCTGTGTGGAATGTGGATTATTGCCAAATATTGAAGGACATTACTGTTGAGGACATGTAAGTTGCAAGGCTGGACTAATCTGCAGTGGTGACTTTTTTTTTAATGGCAATTTTTGTGTTAATACTGAAAAAATGGCTGCCTCTTGTGCTATGATATATATACATGATGTATCTCTGGTGTCCAGCTTCATTCCCTTTTTTGACCTAGGAAATATTGGAGAACCCTACTTTGAGACAAATATGTATTAATATTTCTAGTGACTTGGGTGAGTAACTTCAAAGTTAGTTTTCTTTACCTTCTTTTCCCCAGTGGTGAACCGTGGGACTAGTTTCCACTATTTTTTTTGCATTGGAGTAATTCTAAAGTGCCCAATTTATAGCTTTATCTAAGTCTTTTTGGGAAGAAAAAAAAAAGTGAACTAAATTGTTCCCTGCCTTTTCTGTTTTAGAATTTGAAAAATTGCAAGGTAAGCCATAACTTGTGACTTATGTGTCTGCTCTTGTATCCAGCTAAGGCCTAAATATCTCAAGGTCTGAATTTCTAGCTGCTGCTGCTGGCAGACAGGTGTCATTTGTGTTGGTATCTGTGGCTGCCTGTGTTATATCCAGCTGCTGCTACAGCTCATCCTCTTTGGGTGAGTTCTTAGGCTCGCCTACAGCACTGAGAACAAAATCCTCAAACCTTACTGCTGCTTGTTTTTGTAAGGCTGTTTCTTGTATATGTTCTTGTCGCAGATGTAGGTTTCAGATTTTCGGAAATTTTGAATCTGCTCTCTTTTCTGGGTGTGCTCAGCTTTAACTCCTGCAATTTCTGCAGTTTCAGAGGATGTTCATCCTTTTGGCTCCAGGCTCATGCTATGGGCTGGAGGCATGTTTATGTGGAGTGGATTTGGCCCATTAGATTTTCTGTTAGATTTGTTCTCACAAAACTTTATCTCTGAGAGTTTTGAGATGTCAGCTTGATTGTCTTAATTTTATTTTCAGCTTATTTCTTTATTTCCCTTACCACAGTGGTAGAAATGCTAGAAGGCTAGCTTAATATGAGGCTTTCTAGCCTTAATAAATTTAATGACATTTTATTTGGTTTTGAGTTTTATCACACTGTTGTGCTGTCATTGAGCATGTGTCCAGGTCTATGTACCAGTACAAGAGCAGACTGAGGTGGTAGAGGTTTGCACACAGTACTGGGAGGTTACCTGTGTGAGAGAGTCTGGTCTTGCCCCAAGCTTTCTTCCCTGGATTCCCTGTTTAAAATACAGTATGTAATTATTTATCTGTGACTCTTAGGAGGAATATCCGGTTTT